GAGGTCAGAAGTTAGTTATCATAGTAAATTTTTGTGTTATTTATGTTTTTTTTTACAATTTCTTATGTTTTTTGCATTTGTTTTGTTACACAAGATTCTGTAATTTTATTGGATCCAAATAGAGTCAGAAGTAATCTTCAGCCTAGGATTTTCTGAACATAAGAGTACCCCCAATACATCTACTATAAATTTAACTATAGCTGATTAATTCTAGACTATATACTTATTAATTGTATTTACTAAATGTCAAGACTATCATTTTAGGTTTTCTTTAATTTTTCTATGCTTAAAATTAATTTGAAATAATTAATAATAGTATTATATAAAAATGAAAGTGTAATGTTATATTGGGTGTCTTAAATAAATAATACAAATGTAGTTTAAAAATCTTTAATATAATTACTTCTATTATCTAATAAAGTTTTTACTTTGATATTTTTTTTAAAAAAATTAATAATTAATAATTTTTAATTTTTTTAATATTTTTTAAAATTTTAAACTAAACAAAATTTGTATATTAGAAATATATAACTTTAAATTGTTATCTTTTAAGTAATAAATTTAAAGTTTAAATTCTATTAATAAAATATTTTTAAAAAATTGATTGTATTATAATATATTATTTTTTGTTAATTAGTTAAATTAGAATATCTATAATTTTAATTATATTAACATAATTAGAAGTTTAAAATATTTGTATATAACAGCAAAACAAATTGCTAACTTGTATATAAATTTAAACTTTTTAGAACTTAAAAGAATTTTAATCAAAATATGTATAAACTACTATATATTAGAATTATTAAAAAATAACTAATATAAAAATATTTTAAAAGCTTGCAATAAACTTTAAAAAATAATTTAACATATTAGATAAAACTAAACAAATACTTTTTAGATTTAATAATGCAAACAATATATATAATAATAAACCAAAAATTATAAATATATTAGATAATAATTTTATAAAAAATTTAATCAAGTTTTAATAAAAATGAAAGCATGGCCTCACTTTAATATTAAAAAAAAAAACTACATTATAACAAAATACGTATACAATATTAATGTGAAATTGGTAGATAAGATGATCCAATAAATGATTAATATGATGTGTATTTGTAACTTGTAACTTGATACCAAATATTGATATATTTACATTTTGTAACTTACGACTTAAAGTGCATGCAGAAATTATGTGTAAGGTTTTATCGATCATAATCGACAAAATTTAAAACCAAAATTACTTAAATTTTTACTAATGAAATAGTGGTCGCCAATTAAGTGAAACATTGGACAGGACCAACTCTTAAAATTTTCCTTTTTTGGAATCAAAAATCAAAAACATTAATTCCGGCCAAACTTATGTATAACGCGGGCCAGAATTTTGTCGATCACAGTCGTTGACCAATCAAAATCCAAAATCGAGGATCATCCGCGCACAGATTTCTAGCATTTTTAACAATCGCAATGTTTAATTTTCGTAACTCGAAAAAATATATGAAAAAAAATTCGATCATATACTATTCTGAGGAATAATGAGATTCTTAGTTATCATTTATATAAATAAAATTTCAAGGCTAATCTGTCTTTTAGCCAATCAAAAGTTCATTAAATCGATAAATTTGCTTTTACAAAGTTACTGGTGGAATTTAAAATTTTTGCCTTTATGTTGAACAATTGTTAAAATTAAATGGTACTTATACGTACCATTTAAAAGTACCTTTCTCCACTTCAGAAAAGATTAAAATTGATTAGATAAAGTCATATTAAAAATTTACATAGTACAGAATACACAAGAAGGTTTCATTAAATCTTTGTTTATAATGTATGATCAACTTAACAAGGTTTTATGTATTAATATATTTTTCAACCGATAGTGTACATGTACATATTCTTTGGTAATTACATAATATTTATTGGACATTCAAAATTTAGCATATATTTATAATGATTAAGAATAAATAATGTAATTTGTTACCAAAGAACAAATCCAACGAACAAATTAAAAAGATGGAAAATTAATAAGGATTAACGTTAACGTTATTTTAGAGGTAAACTATACAATAAAATAGGCAATTTAATAATTAATAAAACACGACGGCAAGTTGTATAACGATAATACCTTAAACGATAAGATCTTAATGTCGCACAAAATATAACAACGACCTAGAATTTAATTATATGTACCCGTAGAACACACGTGGAGTACAGTTTAATCAAAATTTTTTATTTTCGTAAGTAGTTTGCGTTCGTAATCCTCCTAATTTTCACGCATATTCGCATATCCTTATTCCTTCTTTCCGTCCCCTTTTACCCCTCCATCCTCCTCTTAACCCACCCTCTTAACATCCATTTACAATCGCTGACCAATCACCCTTCAATCACCCTTTCACATTAACCACCGTATACATAATACATTAAAAATGCCTTCATTATTTGAAATAATTCAATTTCTTTACATTTTCCAAATTCTTCTTTCCGTAATCACCATTTCTCTTAATAGTGCTTTGACTATAATTACATCCAATTCTGGTTCTACCAATTTATCATCTGATGTCTATGCAACATTTGTATTTTCATCAATTTCTTTATTGGTAGCCATAACTCTTTCCATACCATCAATTGTTCGTAAATTCAATTACACCTTTTACGTTTTGATCATCAAAATTATCTTAACCATTTTATGGTTTATTATCTCAATCATAATTATCGCAAAATCCAATAATGAATCAGTTTTAGATCCCAATTTTGTTCAAGATATAAATCTTGGATGTGCAATTGGAGTTTTTATTTGGATAAATTTCGTAACTTGGTCAATTTCTACAATTTTACATTTTAAAATACGATCTCGAGAATGTTATAACAAAAGAGATATTAACAAAAAAATTATTATACATAGTACCAATTATAGTCGTAATAGTTTTTATTATGATCAAGATGCAAAAGTTTTAACAACACCTAAAATCATTAAAGAAATTGATGAAATGATTAAAAATCCTGAAACAATTCAACAATCTAATCAAAATTCGATAACATCAGAAAAACAACCTATTGTTGAATGGGATTATTCACTTTCAAATACGAATACTACTACTTACACTTTGGTAAATACGTCAAGTACTGAACGATCATTTGTTCCTGCACCACAAGTAGCATTAACGAATGATTATTATTCTTCATCTGCAAATGAATCTGACAGAAAGGATTTTTAGAAAAAAATGGTTTATGAGTTGTTATGAGTTTTTATGAGTTTTTATGAGTTTTATGAGTTTCATGAGTTTCATGAGTTTCATGAGTTTCATGAGTTTAATGAGTGTTAATATGGATTTCGATCATTTCATTTAATTATTTCATTCAATTATTGTTTTTTTTTTGAATTTAGTTATTTATAAAAAGACTAAACTCATTCATTAATCATTCAACGTAATTACTTAATGCAGACGAATACCTACGTAAATTAGGAGCTTAGATCATTTTTTGTCATGAGATGAGAAAATTTTTTTTTTAGATTTGATTAAATATTAATTTATAAAAGAATTATTAGGATAGATAATTCAGAACCTCGTACGTAGAGTATAAAAATTGAATATTTAAAAACAAATTTTATTATCTGTTAATAAACAAATTTTATTCTCTGTTAATAATAAAATATATATATCGTTTTAATAATGGAGATTTAATGGGGTTTTTTTTATTTTTATTATGCATATCTGCATATTGATAAATTAGAACACTTATATTTGCATTTTGTACCAGCTAGCTAGCTAACGATAGGTATAGATTGTTACATGACATCATTTTAAACAAATTTCAGGTACATACATACATATGTACTTATAATCGACCAGTAACAATTGCATATACTGTACGTAGGTAGTCTCGTACGTACTGAAATGATAATATTAAAAAGGGATATTCTTGGATATTCTTCGTGGGATAACATCGTCGACGGATCAGATATGCAATCAAATTTATAAATTTATCTTACAATCAAGTTTACGTACCTTTCAAATTAAGTTAATATTATTATTAAATTTTTTTTTGTTTTTTTTGCTTTGAAAGTTATAAAGTTATTACAAATTCTTTTATACATATATATCTATACATAATGATAACACTTATTTAAAGAACAAAATGTAAATTACAAATTTGAATATATATAATTTTTTTTTTGTTGATATGCTTTAATATGATGAGAAGAGACTGTACAAGAAATTATCAAAATTTCCAAAGATGTCAAGAGAATTATAATTTAATAATCAGTTTTTATAACAAGACCAGATCTTGGAATCGTTATTTTTCTAACAAGAGGTGATGTAGGTCGTCTCTTTAACCATTCTTGTTTATCAGTAATATCAGAAGATATTGATATAGAATCTCTTTGTAATCCTAAACTTGAATGAGTTTTTGATGTATGCCTACTAATACTAACGTTAATATTTCCTTTATAACTACCAAGATCTTCCTCAGATCTTGCCCATGAAGCTTTGGCTAATGCTGCTGCTTCAGGACTTATCTCATAAGAAGCCGATGAACTTACACCATCTAATTCACTACCCCTACTATCATTCCAACTATTTTGATCACTATGTTCATTATTAAGTCGATCATTATTAAGTCGATCATTATTAAATCGATCATTATTAAATCGATCATTATTAAGTTGATCATTATTAAGTTGTTTATTATTAAGTTGTTTATTATCTAAATCGTCATCCAAAACTTCTTCTGCAATGTATCCCATTGAACTATCATAACTTCTATGATGGTGTAAAACTGGATTTTTTCTTATAAACTCTGATACTTGAGATACTTGAGATATTTGAGATACTTGAGATACTTGAGATACTTGAGATATTTGAGATATTTGAGATACATGAGATATATGAGCTATTTGAGGTAGTTGAAGAGTATTATTCGTTGCTATTTCATCTAAATTAAGTTGTAAATTCCGACAAAGACTAGGACTTAAACAATAACTATTCCTTGGAGTTAAAGAACTTGGATATATTGCTATACCATTGTCTTCAGATGGAATATTTAAATCTGAAAGCGTTGTTATTGAATTTTGAGCACTATTTCTAAGACTATCATATCTTGATGATTTAGACATGGATTTTAAACTGTTCATTGATTTTATTGAATCATGCTTAACTTCTTCTGCTTGAATAATTTGAATAGTTTGAAGACTTGTTGTTTTATTATTATTAACTTTTTGTTTTTCTTTATTATAATTCGGATTTACAATAGGTTTTTCGATATATCTATCCAATTTCTCTGCTGAAGACTGAATTTGAATTTGTTGTAAATTTAGTGTAGAGTTATGAGCATCACCTGTTGAAATCTCTTCATCATAATTATAAATTGATATTGAATTTCTTTCATTTTCTCTTCTACTACTATTGAATATTTGACTAATTCGAAGGCTGTGTACAAATGATAATCTATTTGATGATGTATCACTAATTGATGAACTCGGGAGTTTGGGCATTGGTCTTAAACAACTAAAAAAAAAATAATAATTAGATAAAGAAATTTAAATAAAGGAATTTAGATAAATAAATTAGATAAGAAAATTTTGAAATTCTTACTTGTATAGAAAGATACATTGAATTATGTTTAAGAAAACTGGTATAGTACAATCCCAAGCTATCATATACCCAATATTAACTTTGCGGCCAAATGATGTCATGTCTTTGTGAATCACACAAAATGATAAAACTGTGATTATATATAACATCATTGCTACAATTAAAACAAATAATGCAAGACATAACTAATAAAATAAAATAAAATAAAATAAAAAAATGGATTGAAAATTAAAAATTTTAATTCGTTCTAATTGAAAAAAATATAATCTCATGAAATATATAATATATATACATACATTCCTTGCTGCTCTCTGTAAAGTTGAAACAGTCAATCCTATATTTGGCTTTCCATTACTTTCTTTTTTTTTTAATTCATCAATACGATTCCATATTATAACAATTAATTTACACCAAAAATATACTACAGAACCTAAAAAAGTTAAGGCCCATAAAACCAAAATTATATAATGAACTTTTGTAAATAATAATGCCATAGGATAATCTACATCTGCCCAATAACCAGTTAGGCAAGCAAATGGAAATAATGTTGTAAAAGGTGCAATTAATATAAAAATGCCAATCGTATCAATAATATGTTTATTTGGTTTTTGTCCTCTTGTTGTTCCATTTGAAGTTTTCGATTTAAATTTGAGAGCAGGAGTAGAATATACTAAAATAAAAAAATTAAATGTGTATACGTATTAATCTTTTAGTTTATTTATGAAACTGTAATCAGTTTAATAAAATTGGTGTAATATCCTTTTTGCAGCGAATTTTTAAGATTTCATAGATGTATTTATTGCTGCATAATGAGTATTACCTAATGTTGAGCAGTTCCTTTAATGGGAAAACTTACTTATACTTATCGGGTATATTAATGCCATTCCTATACTTAATTCTCGTGATAGATCTTGTCCAACTACATATAGAAAGGTATATCGTTATTGTTTAACATATGTAATACAAATAAAATGAAATAAAATTTTTTATCAAAAGTTATTATTACGTATAACTTACTTTCTGCAATCACAGAATTTGGATATCTAAAAAGAGATTTCTTTTAGAAATGAAAAAAAGTTCAACATATGAAAAAAAAGCATAAATGTAAAAACTACGTACGACTCAGACAAAACCATTGATATATGCATTACATTAACTAAAAAAAAAAAAAGAATTAAAACGGTTTAAATAGTGGCGCAGTAATTACGTAAATAATTGTTCACTAATCGTATGTCTTGGTGGACAAAGTTTAATAAAAATAAAGAAAAATAAAGACAAATAAAGAAAAGAAACATACGTAAGTTAAATACAATGGTTGTAAGGTGAAATATTCCTTGTGGTCTTATCCTTAAAATACCTCTTTCTCGATTTTGTGGTAAAAAAAAGGTTTGCCCTTTACGAACCATTCGATGATATATAAATCCAAGTGAAATCATGATGATAAAGATTGAATAAGGAATCAATAATCTATGTACCAATAAAAGCACATCCTCATCTTCGCAACCTCTATAATTTATTCTAAAATCACAAGTACATTGTATCGTTATATTATTTAAATCATCTAAAGATTTATTTTCACAAGTAAGAGCAAAGTTGTTATTTAAATGAACCATTATTCTTTTAAAAAGTTGTACATATGTAACGAATGAATATGTTGAAATATGAGAATATATCAAAATATTATTATAATAAATAATAATTAAATACTTTTTCCATTAATGAATATTATTTCATTGGACAAGATGTATGCTCTTTTTGCCGAAAATAAAGAAAAATCAAGATTTCTAAAATCTTAATAATAATAATAATAATAATAATATTTTACATACACTTGATAATAAACATTAATGTCGTAATAAGAAAAAAAAAACATGTACAAATATTAGGAAAAGAAAGGGAAAATAGTTCAGATTACGAAAATAAGGAGTGGAGAAGAACGCATCAAATGAGGTAGAGAAAAGAGGTATGTTGGTTGCGCGGTCCAACTCGAGATGCAGGAACGATTTCAGAAAAAGTTCATATAATTTATATGAAATTCTTCGTACAACTTACGATTCATATAGTTCGTATTAGTTTACCAATTTTGTGTTGTCACTTAAAAAGGAAGGCAATGCAATCTTTTGTTATGTGTTATTGGGAAACTTGTGTGATGCTTTCTTGGTCCTAATTACACTGAGTATCAAAAACATCAAAATTAATTACGTGGTAATACTCAATAATGAAATTTACTCTTTTATGTCCTTAAAACAAAAGTAGGGTCACTTTAATAACTGTCACGCAAGATAGGGCTGCATCAATTTTCATAGGATCCCAAATTCAAATTACTAAGTAATTCTATTACTAAGTTAAATTAGTTACATTTCACAAATTTCTATTGACCAATAGAATTTACTATTTCTTATCATATTTGTTTTGTTACCACTCTATAAGGAATTACCAGTTTCCGATTCTGGCCTTAATGTTAAAGAGATTCAGGTACATACGTATCAGTATGTACTTTCGCATGACTGTCAATTATCATGTAAAACTGTGATATCTTGACACAATAGACAAATAAATACCCTTACTTTATGATGAACATTTAAAGATTTTGCATTAATCTTAGGCCTCGAGTAAATGTCAAAAAGTCCCTTAGGGATAATGATCTCTTTGCCAACAATTGCCGGCATATGATTAGTTTTCAGGGATATCAGACATCGATATAGGGCAATCATACATAAAAGAAACTCGAATATTGATTCGAATATTGATTCGAATATTGGTTTGAATATTGGTTCGAATATTGGTTCGAATATTGATCTAGTTACCAAATGGTCAAAGGCTTCCCTAGATTAATCTTATTGTTTTCATTATCTATTAATCTTTTTAGCAAAAAAGTCCTTTTAGAGTCACCAATAAATTTTATTATCACATGAACACCTATAAAATAATTTATACTAAGGATGCTAACGGTTCGGACCAATTAATGAGGAATTATATAGTGATCTAGACCAATTGATTCGAACAATTAGTACCCTTAATTTACATCCCTAAACCTGTTTGAAGTTTTATTAATTAATCACTTAATATGATTTATAATAAAAACAACAAAATTTATTTGACAAAAAAAAAATTTTTGTTTTTTCTTATTGATTTAATCGCCTGTCTTGTGTGATCTTGCGTGATCTTGTGTTTCATCATCTTTAATTAAAAACGATTTAGACAATGCATGTTGTTACGTACCACGAAATTATTATATATATACATATACGTACGTATACATATACACACATATATATATATATATATATATCTGATTTTTAAACCCAACTCCTAACAAAAAGCAATATATATATTTTAAGTAAAGTTTCTTGAACCATATATACCGGTATAAACGATAAGTTACAATATATGATGAGGAAAGATAAAAAGATTGACAATTTTGTTTAGTTAGTTGATCAGTCGATAAAACGAACTTCATACATGTTACCCCTAACAATAATAGTAAATTTAAACCGTCTTGTCGTATTAAAGTATTTGGAAAATTTTGGGTTAGCAATTATTTTTGATGAATTAAATCATCATATTGCATAATATAGAGTTGTGTTACGTACGAAAATTACAAATTTACAATAACGATAAATGTATTCTGTACCCCCGTGTACGTATTGTATTGTGTACCCCTTATAAAATATCCAGGTATTTTACTATGAGCATTCGGATTTCAAGTTTCGTTTGTCAAGTACTCACCCCCATATATTGTATCCCCCATAAAATATCCAGATTTCAAGCTCCAAAAGTGCCCAAATTTGTAAAAGTCCCGGAGAATACCGATACAGATAATTTTCATCATATACATCATTTGAGATATGATCCGATTTACACCGATCTCGGAAACTGTATATCATGTGAATTACAAATTGCATGAAAACTTGAACTTACACAGAATTATGGTAATTATTATCCATTTAGGTTGGAACTAGTGGTGTCACTCAAACCCGATAGTTTCGTCAAATGCCGAAACTAGTTTGGAATTTTGCCGTAACAAAATTCAAAACAGCAATAATATTATTTGCCGCTATTTTGAGTTACATAACTCAGATGAAAAAATTTTCATAATACGACTATTATGTCATAATTTTTTGAATATCGATATTGGCAAAATGTGCCGAATAGAGATGGGCAAAGTAATAAGGTAAATAAGAATTACTTATTTTTTTACACATACATATTATTACTAATTATTCCTTATCATGTTCTAGAAAGCAAATTTTAAACTTAATAGTTTGCTGATGTTAAGTTTTTTTACTTATACACGATTAGAGTGATAAGAGTTGTTAACGGTTATATGGCTTGGCTTGGCGCTCAAAAACCATGGCTCTAGCTTGAGCCATGACTATTGGAGCCACAGTTTGAGCCATAGCTCGAGCCGTGACCTAAGCTTAAGTTGAGCCATCACTATGCTTGGCTCTAAATTAGATTCCACCAAGAGTCTAGACTATAGATGCAACCCAAACTATTTGGGACGTCCCAAACCATGCGATAATTAGTATAGCGTTAGTTTCGGCCGAAACTATGTGATACTAATTGACACATGGTTAGCATTCGATCCCTGAAATTTCATTGGCTGCTTATAGTAAAATTTCTGTGAAAACACGATCGATTATATAGTAAGTTTGACGAATCTGATTATATTTGATTAAATTTGTCAGAAGCAAATAGTATCGAAGAATAAAATTCTTTAAATTTCATTTCCTGTTTGCTATAAAAATTTATGACTTACTACTTGCAAGTCATAAATTTATATAGAAAAATGTTAAAAAAATTTTATTCTTCGATACTATTTGCTTCTGACAAATTTAATCAAATATAATCTGATTCATTGATGATTTATCATATGGGAGTGAGTCATAGAAACACATCACATCATTTTTAAACAAAAATAACTTAGCAAAAATTTAATTAAATTTAATAACTTTTTTAAGATTGGTTTAAAAAAAATTTTTATTAAATTTGATAAAGTTGTTGTTGAGTTATCTTTGTTTAAAGGTTTAAAAAAATTTACTTAGAAAAATCTGATGCATTTTTACTGATTCACCCCATATGATCGATTGTATTTTTATATCTAGCGTTAGAAAACCAATCATCAAATAAATCAAATAGATTTTCCATCATGCTCACATGGTTTGGGACGTCCCAAATAGTTTGGGTTACAATACTAGACTGTTCAGGATTATGATTCAACATAATATTCCATAATTCACCTTACAGCACATAAAATATACGATTTTGCATAATTTAAAGAAATTCGCATAATCTCACATAATTTAGCATTTTCATGTTTTAAGAAATTTCTATTGATCAATTGGACTAAGTTTCACAGAATCTTGTCATCAAGTCAGCCTACATTATACTTTAACGCTGGCCAATTCTGGGTAGAATCATATTAATAATGTGACCAAACTAGATGCACTTTTTAAAAATCAACAGCTCCAAATTTAGCAAAGTTATTGACAATACTGTTTTAACTTTTTATAGAATTGATAATAATTATATGCCAACTAAATTTATGCTTGTAATAAAACATTTTTAGTAAAACTTCGAGCCTTTAGGTTAGGAACAGGGTCTTGCCATTTGGTTAGGATTCAAAAATATTGTTTCACAAAGAAATTTTTATAATATGCAAAAGATGGTTTCATGAACATCTACTGATCTATCTATCTTATAGTATGCGTGATTTTGTAGTTTGATCGGTCAACAGAAATTTTTTTCAAGCCTAATCCCTAGGTTCGCATAATTTGCATAATTTACAATTTATCCTACACATAATTTGGCAGTTGTCAGAACATAATTCTGGACACTTTAGTCTACGTAAACACTTTTGACCATATTTTCGGCATCTCAAAAAATCTTCTAAGCTCATTTAAGTTAGGTTAGTGTTTGTATTAAGGCTAGGTTTTATAAAATAGATAGTAAAATTGCACAAGAAAAAACTTTTTGGTAAGGCACAAAAAGTGGTTTCATATGCTGATTTTTGAGTTATAAATAATTTTTTGGTTAAACGAATGTTTGTTTTGATCGTGTTATATTACACCTGATCTTGAAATATGGACATACCAGAACATATGATCCAGTAAATGCATGCAACAAATCATAAATTATGTGAATTATGCGAATTTTGATTTATTAGCCAATAAAATATGACAAATAGCTGCTCGATACATAGTATTGAAGCAGCTTTTGTCTTGAATCATGTGATATTCAATCTAACATGTGATATGTCGATTACGGTCACATGTTCGATCGATTGTCAAGGTATTTGAATAATTAGTAATGTGGTCATTGATGTTAGTATGAGGTATTTTAAGTAATTAGTAATGTAGTAATCAATGAGATGAGGTAATTTGAGTAATTAGTAATGCAGTCATTAATAAGAGTATGATCTATGCAATCAGTGCTTTTGTAAATATAAAATAATTAAGTAATTATAAGATAATTGGATTGTAGTAGTTTGAAAAAGTAATGAAAGGTAATTTTGTCTTTTTTACAAACCTGATTTTTGTTCTGGTTATATCAATCCCATCCTCTTTGCTTATAAAGCTTTGCAATATTAGAGTAAACTAATTTGTCAACA